TCGTTCAATGCCTTGCACTGCTGGCTTCTGTGTAGGCCCTAGGATGGATCTTTAGGGTGTGGTGGTCTCCAGCATGGCTTGCTGGCAGACCGAGGGGGGGATGTAGTTCCTGTCAGGCTCTGTGCTGACCTCACCCCCTAGTGACTTCAAGCTCCCTCAATGAAGCAGCACATCCCATCCTCGTTGCCACTGTTATATCTTTGGTTCTTTAGGCATTGAACGAGGCAGAGTGTTGAAACAGCAAACAAGTTTATTAACTCAGAACAAAAAAATTCCCTCAAATTTTGAGCATGCGTAAATTTAACATTTCTAATCCAAATTAACTCCCATAAATCCAATAAAATCGGTTCCTGAATATTCTGAGCCCATTTAATCATACAATCTTTTACTAGCTCTGTTTCCAAATCCAATTTTATTAACTCATTGTAAATTCTTTTAATATGAGCATATTTCTGATCTTTAATCTGAATTACCAAATTTTCATCTGCTAAGGTGATTCCCACTTTCTTATCTAAAGTCCACCTCTCCACTATTTGCAAATATTGAAACCATGAATGTAAAATATTTTCTTGCCTTAACAAATCTGAAGACTTTAGTTGCCAATCAGTACCCGACCAAATAAGTAATTCTTTAGACAAAATAGAAACCCCCTGAATTGCTTGTCCAAGAATCCCCCAAATAGGTATTTTATAATTTAACTTATAATAATACTTCTTCCAAACTCGAAGTAAAGCATTTCTTAAAATGTGTGACTTAAAAACCAGATCTACTTTCTTGTCAAAAATTAAATATGCATGCCAACCATATAATAAATCCCAACCTTCAAGAGCAAGAATATTTTTATTTGTTAAATTAAGCCAATCACTTACTAAAGTTAAAGTGGCCACATCATAATATAATTTCAAATTAGGTGCTTTAAGTCCACCTCTTTCTCGAGTGTCTTGCAAAATCTTAAACTTTACCCTTGATTTCTTCCCACCCCAGATAAATTTATTGATACCTTTCTGCCACTCATCCAAATTAGCATCCTTTTTAAAGATAAGTATCATCTGAAACAAAAAAAGAAACTTTGGTAGAACATTCATCTTTACTACTGAGATTCTCCCCAGCAACGATAGTTGTAATTTTTGCCAATTATTTAAATCTTTTTCTACTTTTACCTATAAGTGTTCATAATTATTCTTATACAATTTTCCATTAGATATTGTGATACATACTCCTAAATACTTAACCTTATTAACTACTTCATAACCTGTTGCTTCAACTATAATATCTTTTCCCTTCATGGACATATTTTTCAATAATATTTTAGTTTTGTTCTTATTCACCTTAAAACCAGAGACCTATCCATACTGTGCTAAAATTTCAACCAAGTCTCTGACCGAATCTGTTGGGTGGGATAATGTCACAACCAAATCATCAGCAAAAGCTCTCAGCCTATAATCAATCTTACTTATTTTTATTCCCTTTAATCTAGATGAATCTCAAATTTTAATAAGTAAAATTTCCATTGTTAATACAAATAACAAGGGGGATAAGGGACAACCCTACCTTCTACCTTTTCCTATTTTAAATACATCTGTTAATCCCCCATTAATTATAATTTGTGCTGATTGTTGCTGATATATGGCCTTGAGAGCACACAAAAATTTGTCTCCAAAGTTCATTTCCTCTACAACTTTCAATAAAAATTTCCAATCTAATTGATCAAAAGCTTTCTCAGCATCTATAAATATTAAAGCAGCAGGGATTTGGTTGTTCTTATCCAAATACTCTAGTAAGTTAACAATTTGTCTTACATTATATTTCATATATCTTCCCATTATAAATCCAGATTGGTCAGTATGAATCAATTGTTTCAAAACCTGCATTAATCTATTTGCCAGTATCTTTGCAAAAATCTTATAATCTGTATTTAAAAGAGATATAGGCCTATAATTTCTAGGTTGGGACAGATCCTGGTCTTCCTTTGGAATCAATGATATAAAAGCCCTTCTCCAAGATGGAGGTAGCTCTGCTTCCAATAAAATATCATTGAAAAGTTCCTTTAATGGTTCTATCATTTCTTCAGATAGCATCTTATAATAAATTGCTGTTAGTCCATCAGTACCTGGAGTCTTGCCAACCTTCAATTGTTTAATTGCAGAAATAATCTCTTCAGAAGTAATTAAACCATTAATCCCATCACGTTGGTCTAGGAAAATGTGCTTCCTGTAAATATTTTTTTATGTCTGAAGTTTGTATAGTTTCACTAGCATATAACTTTGAATAAAAATCTTAAAAAATCTTTTTAATCAAATTTTGTTGATACACTTCTTTACCTTTATAAATTATTTTATCTATAGTCCTTGATTTCTGTTTCTTACATAATTGATAAGCCAACCATCTACCGGGTTTATTTGCATTACAAAATGAATTCATATACCTCAAATTAGTTGCCATCTGATCCGCTATTAACATATTAAATTGCTCCTTAAGCAGAGTTATAGAAACCTTTAAGTTATTATCCATTGGGTTTGATATTAAAATCTTTTCCTTACATTTAATCTCATCTTCCAAGTCTTTACGTTTCTGAGTCTGTTTACGTCTATGAGCATTATTCATAGAAATCAAAATCCCTCTCATATATGCTTTACTAGAATCCCATACCATTGGCATCGAGGTACCCTTATTCATGTTCCAAGCAAATAATTCCTTTAAATAACCTCTACATCTCTGTATATTCTCTTCATATCTAAATAAATTCTCGTTCAACCTCCAAGACCTTCTAGTCCCTTCTTCCAGCAAAATTTCAAACCATACAGGACTATGATCTGAAATTATTCTAGGAAATATCTTGGTATTCTTCACCCTAGAAAAGAAATCATTAGTAACTAAAAAAAAGTCAATTCTAGAATAAGATTGGTGCCTATCTGAAAAAAAGGTAAAATCTTTTTCCTGAATGTTCCATTCTCTCCAAATGTCTCTAAGTTCCAAATCATCCTTTAAATCAAAAAAAGCTTTAGGAAGTCTTGCATGATTTTATAGATGGCATCTGGATCCTAAAAAGTTGTCTTGTATGTACCTGAACCTGCAACCTAAATGTTGGAGATGTGGTAGCTTGGATGCAACTTATTTTCATGTTTGGTGGACTTGTAAAAATATTAAAGCCTTTTGGATTATGATTTGGTGGAACATTCAAAAGGTTTTTAAGATTAAGTTTACTCCCCAATTATTTCTTTTGGGTATTTTTGTGGATTTTGATGCTAAAGAAACTATTTTAATGTTGAATTTAATAACAGCAGCAAGATTATTGGTGGGTCAATATTGGAAGAAAGACTCTCTGTCTTCTTTAGAAGAATGGGTATTTAAGGTTTCTAATTTAGCAGAAATGGCTAAAATTTCTGCTTATTTAAAGGATCATTCACAAGAGAGATATGTTATTGTATGGAGAAAATGGATAGAATATGTTCAGAAGAAATATGGAACTATAAAATTTCATTTATTTTATGAATAATGGATTTGTTTATCAAATTATGATGTTAAAGTTTGAAGAGAGTTAAGGGTTAGTATGATTTTGGTTATTGTATAATTAGTAAACTTACGTAGATTATGTTTAATATGTTTGTGTAACCCTGTACTTGGCCCTGAGAAGTTGGGGGGGAGGGGCAGGGGGAGGGGGGGGAGGATGGGTTGCAGGTTAAATAGGTCAGATAAGTAGAAATAGTTGTTGTTTTTTTGTATATACTATTGATGTTTTAACTTGGAGAGAGGAATTGCTCAGGCATTTCCCCTGGATCGCATCCAGAGTGAGAAGATAGGAGAAAGGGGAGAAGCAAGTAGGAAGGTTGAGGAGAAGGAGGAGAGGGGGAGAGTGAGGAAGAAGAGGGAAAGAGGGAATGAGAGAAGAGGTTAGAGGGTGGATGTGGTTTGGGGGGAAATGGGTGAGCAATACCGAAAGTTGTGTGTATAAATTTACTTTATTCTTTATCTGAAGTACTTTTTATGAATGTAATGAAAAAATTGAAATAAAAAATGCCGCTATTAAAAAAAAAAGTTTATTAACTCAGAACAGAAGTAGCTGTACCACTATTTATACAGTTAGCCTCTAGGTGGCAACAGTCAAAGTTTTAAAACTGCAAATCCAGGATGTAGCGGAGAACTGCGGGTTTCCCACTTTATTTTAAGCATAAATGTTGATCTTATATAATGTTGATCTTATAGTTCAGAATGAATACACTAGACACTAAAAAACCAATGGCCACTGTATATGACAAAAAAAAATTTTTTTAAGCATGACTAGATTTCTTCACTTGTGCTGAGCCTGCCTACTTTATGTAGTTTGGAAAATATGGGAATTAAGTTAAATAGTTATAATTTACAAAGGAGATGGCAAAATGATTTCAAAGTAAATAATTATTTGTGAGATTGCTTTATTCTATTTGTTTCTTCCCAACCCACTAGGTCTAATAGGTAGGCTGTGCTCTGGTTTCATTTATTAAACGGGACCATAAGACTGGCCCAAAGAAGTATGGCTTTTCTGCTGCAGAACGTGCCTTCTAAAACACTATATCCTGAAATTCATGGAGCTCTAACCCTGCTAGCATTTCAGGAGTTGCTGAAGATTTGTATATTCCTTTGAGGTCTGGAGTTTAGATGAGCTCATCACTGTGAATTTGTCTTTTTTAGGATTAGAGCTGAGTTTATTTTCAACTGCCATTACTTTTCTTATTTTTCTTATCAAGCATTCTGTTCACTTTAAACCAACGTATGCCTACTACTATTAAATTGTAAGATGCAATTGCAATTGATATAATGAATGAATGAATGAATGAATGAAGATTAATGCAGTTAATTTATTACTAGTTCAGTAATATTTTTAATTTATTAATTTGTGAAACATTTAATGTTCATAAACATTAAACAACAACAACCCAGAAGCAGATTATAGCAGAAATTAACTGCACTACTTAAAGTTCACTGTGTCTTCTACAAAATCTTATGTTTGCCCATCTTCTCAGAATGGCTAGGTCAAGAACTAGACCTTGGGAGCCATGGATGATTGCTTTGATTGTGTTAGCGATATTGCTGATCTTAGCCACTGCCATTGGCTTGCTTGTGTACTTTTTGATATATGGTAAGTATATTTATTTTTCAGTCCATATGATTTGAATGGCTTAGTGCTTGAAAATCTTTCAACAATCAGAAGGAAAAAAAATTATGTAATGCAATTCTTTCCTGAAGGATTTATAGCTACTTTTATTCCAACTGGACCATTTCAAGGAAGGTCATCTGCCAAACAACATAACATATTCATTATGGATTGGCAATATTTTCCTATGTCTGATCTCTGTGTTGGTGTATCATCCAAGGCAAAGTATGATCCTGTTATATCCTGCCAGATATAGCATTAGGTAATGGGCGGAAAGAATAATCCTGAAGAATAGGATGAAGAACTACAACCAAGACAATAGTCAGATGAAAGACATCTGAGTCCAGGGCAGAAATGTAATTTGAGAAAGCATATCAGATATGACCCTCCCTAGTTCTCATGAAGAAAAAAGAGAGAAGGGAATACTTTCAGACTTGCAAAATTCTGTTACTATAACTTTAGGCAAGTAGTCTTTGACCTCCAGTTATCTATTTAGAGACTGAAATTATGAAATCATTGAAAGAAGTGACTAATAATTAGTCCATGCATTTATGACCATCCATACAGTCACGTAATTGTGATTTGGGTTGCTCAGTAACTGGCTCACACTTATGACAGTTGTGGTGCTATGCAGTCATATGATCACTATTTCTGACCTTCCCAACCAGTTTCCAAAAACAAAATCAATAGGGAAGCTGGTATAGAAGGTAACAAATTGTGGTCAGATGACGTCTCAGTTAATGCTACAGTGACTTGCTTAATAGCTGTAGTTTAAAAAAAAAGGTTGTAAAATTGGATGTAGTCATGTGATACCTTTCTTTTTTTTAATATTTTTATTCATAATACAATTAAAACAACAATGGACAAACATAACATTCCAGAATGAATTTTCCTATCAGTTCCTATCATGGTACAAAAGCTTAATACATCATTCTTAACCTCTATATAAGCCTCATCTTCTATACAATACAATTATATATACAATTATATGTACAGTTATATATATCTTTTAATTCTACCATTAACTTGAAGTCCGAGCAGTTCTCCTTAATTCATACCAACGGTAAAATTTGCCCCAGATTTCGAAGTATTCGTGTTCTGTCTTGTCTTTCATAATCATTGTAAGCCTGTCCATCTCAGCACATGATAAAATTTTATGCAGGATCTCTTCTTCCATTGGAGTTGTGATACCTTTCTTAATGTATCACTTAGTGACAAATTTTTTGGTTCCAATTGTGGTCATTAAGTCAAGAAGCACCTATAGTATGACCACAGTTGACCGCAAAATTTCCATTGCTAAGCAAGACAGTTATTGTTTTGCCCCATTTTATGACGTTTCTTGCCAAAATTGTTATGTAAATCACTGCAATTGTTAAATTAGTAACACTAGTAGTTGTTAAGTGAATCTGGCTTCTCCATCGGCTTTGCTTGTCAGAAAGTCACAAAAGGTGATGACATGACTTTGGGACATTGCAACCGCCATAATTTCATGCCAGTTGCCAAATGTCTGAATTTTGATCATGTGACCATGGGGGTGCTACAATGGTTGTAAGTGTGAAAAACAATCATAAGTCACTTTTTTCAGTGCTGTTGTAGCTTCAAACAGTCACTAAATGAATGGTTGTAAGGCAAGGACTCCCTGTATTAACTTCCCTATCTTTGGTTTCCAACTCTGGTCTATATTGGAGGGCTGAAACATTGTTAGAGCTGCTGCAAGTCTTAAAATTTGGATATAAGGTAATAGAATTAGTAAGCTGCTTGAAAACCACCCTTGGCAGATAAACCCCATTGCACTGATGAGATGGTGAATGTTGTCTGATAAATCAAAGGAAGAACCTGCTCATGTATTGTTTTACAGGACTGGAACCTGATTGAATAGGTTCTCTGTATATATCAGTGTGCATATACTGATATACATGTATATTGCATCATTTGCATCTTAGCAGAAAGTAGCCAACTCCTGATTCTGGACTTTCACCAAGAAATTTTAATCCTTTCACTGAAAATTCTAAAAAGAGGAAAGGAGGATCAATTATGAGACTTGCCAACCATCAAGCATGAGAAGACATAGTTAATTATTTCTTTGTGGATGAGTAATTGTTTGAACTAGCCTTGGCTTCTTTCACTTGACATACACTCTATCTGATAGCTCCAAAAATCAATAACTTAACTTATCTAGGACCAATTTTTGTGATACCATTCATAATCCAGGTCAACCTATTCTACATGGTCTTTTTTCTTCCCATAGAAAATACAGGAAATATATTAAAATCCTTTGCTTCAGAGTTAAAATATGTCTTTCATATGATAGTTACTCCTCTAAAACCTCTAAATTATTAGAAAATTCCCTCTAATGATGATTGCTCAATTGTGTTTCATTCTTGTAAGTTAATTGATATTATGATATAAATGCTTTCATTCTTTCCCTTCATATGCAGATCAGAAGTTATTCTTTTACGATGCTTCCTTTAGAATCAATAATGTGAAATATCAGCCTAACTTTGAAAAACAGACTTCAGCAGAATTTAGAGAACTGAGCAGAAGTATTGAGATTTTGGTAAGTGATTTGTTTTGTGTTTTTTAAAATGCATTTGATTCTATTATGAAGAAGGAAAAGAACACAGACAGACATAGAAACGTTAGGAGAGAACAATCTTTCCCCCTTTCTTTCTGTTTCTTTTATTTGAAACTTGATGCAGAGATTTTGCATATTGTAAGTCCCCTTTAGTGAACTGCACAAACCTCCTAGCAGTCTTTATGAATCTCTATCTCTTCTGTTCCTCGCTTCAAGCCAGCTAAAAAATATCCCATAGCAAACAATGGGTTCTCTTAATAATCACGGAGTTTGCTTTACCACCACCAAGTTCACTGCCAAAAGGATCATAAAATCAGACACGGTTATGTGTTGACCTGCTTTATGACTGTCACAATTTATGACTGAAATTACAGACTCAATTACAATCATAAGTTGAGGATTACTTTTATATATTGTGGGTTATGAAGCCTGTTAGAACTTGATGCAACAAACTGGCTGCAAAGAAGTGAAGTAAGCTGAATACATTATCCTTATTCATTCAAATAAATATATATGCTGAATATATATTGAATAAACATAGATTAGAAGAATATGAGCATGATTTTAAAATTAGAGAAAGAGACATTAATAACCTGAGTTAATGGATGGTACTATTCTGAAAGTCAAAATGCATATGAACTAGTATCTCTAGTAATACAAGGACTGCAGTCAAAGAGTAAGAGAGAGTAAGATTAAATATAAAGAAGTGCAAACTAACAGCAACAGATGTCCCAACCAGCCCTAGAATTGACAATGAATTAAAGTGGTGGATCAGTGCCTTTTAGAATCGGCTTTTTTAAGGGAGTAAGAAAGATTATCTTATTGGAGTGGGCAAAGGAGTTGAAGCATTTCTTAAATGTATAATAGATAACATTTGAAAGTGATTCAGGCAGATGCTTCCCTATTTCATGGAACTATAAAAAGGAGGGGGAAGTACAGCACAATCAGACTTGCAAGATTCTGTTATTATAGCAAATGTCAGTAAAAGTAGTTTTAGCTTATCTGTGAAGCTGATTCCTAGTCTGGTCTACCTAGTGGAATCATTGCAATCAACAGTAAAAGAACCAGCAGTCAAGAAATATACTGTATTTTAGCAAATTGTAGAGCACCAGTGAAGACCTTGAAAAAATATGCAGATTGCTGGAATATGCCAATATCTACAAAGATTGAAATGTTGCAGTTAATATTTTTCAATGTGACACTTTATGGACTATGAAAGTTGGATTTCCAAGAAACAGGAGAGAATAAGTATTGATACTTTTAAATTTTGATGATGGAGAAAACTCCTGAGAATACCATGGAAAACTAAAAAACAAATAAATGGTTCATAGAATAAATCAATTCAAGGCATACATGAACAGGCTCAAATCATCATGTTAAGGACATATCATACAAATATCCAGCTCTCTAAAAAAAAAGTCTATAATGCTGAAAAAGATGGAAAGAGAAAATGAGGATGCTCAGCAGCAAGGTGGATGGACTATTACAGTAGCAATGGGTGCACTGTTTGGAAGATCTGGATGACCAGGTTGGGGACACAGAGTTTTGGAGAAAAATTATCTATGTGGTCTTGGACAATTGAACCAACTTGATTGCAAATCTCAATTCAAAGACAGTATTATCATATCCCAACATGTGGAACTGTTAGCAGAATTAGCAAGCATGAAGATATTTTTCCAATTGGGTGCATTAGCACATGCCACACGCCACATGCCACAGGATGAAGGAAGCACATATCGATAAATGTTTAGAACATTATGCAGTTGACACACTTTAAATATATGTCCCTTGGGTTGTGTTCAAATATTTCATAACACCATGCAATAACAAAGTTCCAAGAACTTTGATATGCATGGATTATATACTTGCATTGGGTGCCATACATGAATACAAATAGTCTTCATCTTATAACGGTTCATTTAGTAACTGTTCAAAGTTACCACAGCACTAAAAATGATTTATAACCATGGTCATATGATCAAAATTCAGACACTTGGTAAATGACTCATATTTATGATGGTTGCAGTGTCCCAGGGTCATGTGATCACTTTTTGTGACCTGCTGACAAGCAAGGTGAATGGAGCAGCTAGATTCACTTAACAATCATGTTATTACCTTAACAACTGCAATGATTAACTTAATAACTCTGGCAAGAAAGAATGTAAAATGGGGCAAAATTCATTTTACAACTATCTCACTTAGCAACAGAAATGTTGGGCTCAATTGGTTGTAGGATTACCTGTACAATCAATGATTAAAACTGGACCTCAAAAAATTCAGATCCTCAAACATGAAACTGAAAAAAGCAAACAATATTTTAAAGTTCAAGAAATATAATATCAGGGAGAAATGGTAACAAAATATGGCATTAAACTAGATTGGCCCAAAGTTAACACAGCTTTAACAAGAAGGCATTCAATTAAAAGTTAACACTTAGAACAAGTCATAGAATTGGGTGAGATACTTAAATTAGCTCAACATGCCAATCCTTTGGTAAGACAACTGGGCAGAGATTGCACCAGGGCTTGTTATAAAATTGCACAGTTTTGTCACATCTATTTCAAATATAACCTGGTGGCTAGCTTAGAAGAAATTCCCATTCAAATGGTCAATAAAGACTAATTTATTAAATAGATGTGCAACTTTTTTTACAGCTCTATTTCATTCTGGTTAGACCATCTAATACTGCAATTTGTGGGAGGATCTTAAAGGACTTTCCAAGAAAGCTTATCTTTTGTGTGCATGTTTGATTTATTTTAATTTTTATTTCTTTATTGCAGATCCAGATATATATATTTTTAGAAAGAAATTCTCTTAGGGGAATGGTAAATTTGTGAGGTTTCCTCCCCTATTATCCAACCAACCATAACTAGAATAATAAAATAGTAGAATGGAAAGAATGGAAGAGACCTTGGAGATCAAGTTATCCCTGCTTAGTGTAGGAATTCTCCACTACAGTATTGTTGACAGATGGCCATCAAGTGAAAAAGTTGACCACTTTCTAAGGCAATCTATTCCAATGCTAAATCACCCTTTCTCCAAATATCTCCAAATTCTCTGTGTTCTTTTTAAAATGTGTTGCCTAGAACTGGGTGTAATATTCTAGTTGTGGTCTGCCAAATTCTGCATAGAATGAAATAAGACTACTCTTGACACTATATTTTTGTTGAAGCACCCTGATTGTTCTTTTTTTGTTTGTTTGTTTGTTTGTTTGTTTGTTTGTTGCTTTTTTTGCCATCTGCTTTACAGTACTGGCTCCTATTCAGTTTGTGAACTATCAAGGCACTTAGATTTTTTTCAGCTATATTGCTCCCAGCATGCTTTTCCATCCTGTACTTGTTGGGCCTTTGATTTTTCTTATACAAATCTAAGACTTAAGCTGCTTAAAGTCACCTCCACGTGACTCTAGACAGCATGTAAGTTGAATAAATAAACAAAATATTCCAGTTAAGCTACATTTGCTGGTTTTTATCCATTGTCCCAGTTTGTTCCTGAATCCTGATACCATCTTCTAAAATGTTTGTTATTCCTCCTAACTTTGTATCAGTGGCATTTTTATCATCAAATTTCAAACCTCTCATCCAAGTTATTTATAAATATCAACTCAGATGATAAACAAAGAATGGCCAAGTTTCTTCTTTAAAGCCTTGCCAGATTGTTTTAATTGATTCATACTGTATTGTTTTTTTAATTGCTACATGAATGTCCATGAAAAAGAGTGGTCAAAATCTGCAAAGATGATGGACTATGTTATTTTAAAAGCCCACCCCTTTCCCAATGTATGTGATTCTTAGCCAGTGATGGGATTCAGCCAGTTTGCACCCCTTTGGCAGAACCGGTAGCTAATTTTTTGTAGTCCAGCCCAAAATGACTTCCGGAAGTGGCATCCACACAGAGAACCGGTTGTTCGGATATTTGAATCCCACCAGTGTTCTTAGCATGTACAAAACAAGTATGGCTATGATTGGGATATTGTGTTCATCATCTTGCAGACTTTGAGACATAGACCTAGTGGCACTGCTGCATTCCTACTCTATTTAAAAAAATTTCTATATCAAACATAACTTTTTGTTCCTTTCAACAGATTAAACAAGCATTTCAAGCTAGTCCCTTAGAAAAAAGGCTCATTAATTCACGTGTTGTCAGGCTAAGGTATGTAGATGAACATTCCACTCAGGAACAGATGAATTAATTGCTAACAATGACATGAGAATGAATTTATAAATCAAATGGCCAAGATAGCATTAAAAAATAGATCTGGGTTACTTCCGCCAAATGGTGTTTCTCAGTTCTCACTCTCATTAATCAGCATTCAAAACTAGTATAATTATGCCAGTTGTAGGCTAACACCTAGGAGCTAGAGGCATGTTAGAATACACTAATCTTTGGGGGGGGGGCACAATTTAGAATGGAAGCTGAAAATAACCCAACTAACTGACATGTCCTTTGATGTAGCTACTGCCAGATACCTTTTGTATTCTTGTCTTTTGATAAACTTTTATTCATGGAATCAATATCATCTGGCTCACAACCATAAAACTAGCAGATGAATATTTCAAAAATGTTTGGGACAATTTTAACATAATTAAACCTCCATAACTATTATATTTGAATTACGTTAATTGAATTCGTCTCTCAGTTTTTTGGAAACTGATGAATTGGGAAGGTCAGGACTAAATTCTACCTTCTTATCCTGAAACACCTAAACACATATAAACATTTGGGGGAAATTTCAAGGCAAGACCAGCAAGTGGACAAATACCAGGACTCAGATAACTATTGTACAGTCCACAGTTTTTGCTGAAGAATCCATGGACTGAAAATGTTCCATAATAATAAAGTGATGGACGTAATTAGGCTCAATTCTCTAACTGCTATAGATTGGAGAACATTTTAGGAAGGTTCTTGAAGTTCTTTCCACAGAAGTCCTATGTATGTTAAACTACAGATTTGCAATTCCTATCCTCAAAACAGGAGCCCTTTCTTACTATGCAATGACCATATAAAATCTTTTTTTTAGTACACCTTCTTTTAATAGTTGAATAGATCCTGAATTAGGACAAATACATCCCTCCAGATATATTTGTTGAGTCTAAAATCACATTAAAAATTCACTATATTCCAGTAAGTGAGTGGCAAGAGTAGGCTTCTGTGCAATGTAGTGTGATATTATCTGGCCCAACTGGATCTAACTAATGAACACAGTATGTTCAAACACATATAAACATGTGATTAGGTTTATTAAAGTGAAACTGAAGCAAGCAAACAAAAAAGATTCCCATAGTGTGAAATCTAATTTCCAAAACAAGAAATAGATACTGAAATTTGATTTATTATTTGAACCATTTGTACAAAGAATGGGACAACTTGCCATGGCTGACTCGCTCCAGCCAACTCTCCCCAAATATCTTGCCATGGTCAACTTGCTGCAGGACAACTCATTGTGGCCAACTTGCCTTGGGCTAACTTGTCCTGGGATAACTCAGCATGGTCAACTCACCGGGACAATTCAACATGGGATAACTCAAGAGAGGGACAAGTGAACTACATTCAGTCTCAAGGACTTCTAAATTGAGAAGTTCCAAATCTAAAGCAAGACATGAGTTGCTGCAAATTTACTTGTTCCTCTCTTGAGTTATCCTCTGTTGAATTGTCTCACAGCAAGGGCCACAGCGAGTTGTCCTGCAGCGTGCTGTTGTGCAGTGAATTGGCAGTGGCAACTTGTTCCACAGCTAGATGGCTACGGTGAGTCAACCAGGATAAGAGAGCCAGGGTGTGTCGGCTGGAGTGAATCAGCCAGTGAATAAAACTTAATTGCAAGATGGGCACATGAAAAGAAAAGGGGGAAAAGAGCTAAAACAGGGGGAAAGTTTGTGACACTAGAAGATCCCTATATTTTCTAGTCCCAAATCTTAGCTATTTTTGATGATATCATCCAAATTTATGTCAAAACATTTCTAGTGCCTGCCCAATCCCATCCATTTCTAAGACGCAATGAGTTGAGCAGCAAATCTTCCGGTGCTTGTACTTGGTGTTCCTTTATGGACCGATGCAGTATTTTAATTTTTCTGTCTTACTTGCCCCAAAGCCTTGAGTGAATATATATGAAAAAAAATAATAACCCTGCAGGGTATAGAAAATATTCTGGCTTGTTTGGTCAACTGCCTGTATTATTCTTTTGCAGCCCAGGGAATGAAGGTGTCCTGGTAGATGTGGTGCTGATATTTAAGTTCATTGCCACAGATAATAAAGAGATACTCTGGACAAATATTTATCATATTTTGCTGAAAAAACTGAAAGCATCAACATGGCCCTTAAGTATTGATCTTTCTTCTTATAAGCTCTCAGGCAAGTGTTACAGATGTCCTTTGTAATGATGATCAATTTTTTTTAAACTGTTTACTTTGCCTTCACTGTCACCTGATCAAAACTGTGTTACCCATTTCCTATTCTTGCTCAAGATATTTGTGTAGTATTTGCACTTTTTTTTCCTGTGGGGAAAAAGCTTTCATATTTCCAGCCAATTTCTATTAATAATTGTTCCCTGGCTTTCAATTTGTTTATTTGTTTAATATTTAAAGAATAATTATTAGGAATTAACAGAGCATTTTGCCCAAAAAATATTGAGAAAATTTCATTGAGCCAAAGCCAGTAATCTTTATGTTATTTGATTATTTTTATATGAACTAGTCACCCTTATATAGTACAATAAATAGAAACGTTGGCTGATTGGTTAATTCATGATGATAACACACTAAATGGGTTATAAGGGATTTTCTGACAGCTTTTGTAAGAACTATATAGAGAACAAATAGATATCTTATTTTCTTTCTGGTGATTGTAATAGTAGAAAGATGCCAATTTAAATGCTTTAAGTTTCATAAAAGTAGTTCAGGAAAAAGACAATTAAATACATTTAATCAAGAGGAAGAGTTTAGAAATGTGGCCTTGCAGTCTTCAGATTTCCTAAGGCTAATATGGTTGTAAGACCGTTTGTATTGCATTTACAAAGGTATTTTGTTTTATTCTAAGCAAAAAAAAACTTAAGCAAAATTTTCACCTTCTCTTATTTAAAATGCTGGATATTCAGCCTTACTGGAAGGGAGATACTGGTTTGAAAAAATCCTTTGCCAATATTCCCAAATTACTAGTGATTATTAAATCATGTACTTTAGATGAAGGATGGATGAAGATATTGCTACTGCAAAATTAATATTTGTTTCTTTATCTTTCTTTTCAGAGATAAATGAAGAAAATGGTACAAATCTTCTTAACAGTTGTAAGTATCAGAACAACTATCTGTTTGAAAACAGATTTGTTAAAAATTGCTGTGTTTAGCCTCATTTTCCTCTGGATGCTGTTCTCCAGATGTTTTTAACTTTATAACTGGGGAAACTGGACACATCTACTGTATAAAATAAGACTGCCCTATTGAGGAATGCTGCCTTAGCACCATCATTCTCAAACTTTTTTTATCTACTAGTATGCTCAGTCATAACAGATCTGGTTTTTTTTTCAGTCTGATTATCACATTTGATAATCACTTCCACTAAATAACATTATGAAGACAAAGAAGATACCGGAATCTTTTTTTATAGCAATGAATCATGAAATTAAATTTTAAATTCACTTAATTGTAATATTGTAAGTCAGATCACCCATGAACTGTTTCTTAAGAATGGTATATTATTTGTACAAAATTGAACTGTTGCATAGCATTTTTCCCTAAGGGGGGGGGGGGAAATGATATTTCTGAGCTAACCTCAGCAACCAGAAAAACATATCTATTTTCTTTCTTGAACCCAGAAATGCAATTCTGTATTTATTTGGTGGTGAGTGAGGGTGTTCCAAGAAGACAGTTTCTAGCATTTTACAGTTGTAGCATTCTGTGGTCACATGAATACCATCTGAGACCTGCCCAGTTAGCTTCTGACAGGCAAAATCTATGGGGTGAACTGGATTCATTTAACAGCCATGTGAGTCATTTAACCACTGGAGTGATTCATTTAAGAAACAAGACTAAAAGATGATAAATTTGGGTGCAACTCACTTAATAACCAGCTGGCCTAGCAACAGACATTCTGTCCCAATTATAGTTATATTACCTGTATTCAAAAGGGATTGTGCAATTATTTTCTTGTTTTGCTGTGAATAAATAATTTAGGGCAAGAAAAAAGCAATATCAAGACAGCACATTAATGGAAACAATTATGTTTTGATACCCCCTTGCCTGTTCCCTTAATGTTCAGTGAATGAATGATGTATGGCTGTTTAATACATTCCACCATCTTTAGTGAGAATGTCTTCCAGGCAAACATGAACATAAAATTAACCCATTCTCTATATTTCTAAAAAAGAGTACTTTGTTTATTTTTTTAAAAAAGAAATTATGTTCTAATAAATTATGATTTTTATACTTCTAGCAAACCCTCAGACTGCCTTTAATAAAGTGTTCTGTTCTCTGGAAAGAAATGAAATAAACATTCTTTTGGGGGGGCTGGGAGTAGGTTGTGGGACACGACTGGACAGATCTGTGGAGAGAATCTATGGAGGAACTATTGCAGGGGAAGGGGAATGGCCCTGGCAAGCTAGTCTCCAGCTGAATGGCATTCACCGTTGTGGAGCAACGCTGATCAGCAATAACTGGCTTGTGACTGCTGCTCATTGTTTTAGAGGGTGAGTAAATCTTTCCCTATACCTCTAAGACAGGGGTGTCAAACTGCTGGCCCATGGGCTGGATACGTCATGGCGAAACTGTGCCCACCCCATTGCTGGCAATGGAAAAAAGTTGTGATACATCGTGACACATCACATGATGTTGCAAGTTTGACACCCCTGCTCTAAGATTACACCTGAATCAACATATTTAAGCAATAAAATTTTCCCAATTCATTTATGCACAGATGTTACCACTAATACAGTTTGTCTCGTATGTTTAAAACTAAAATTGTAGAAGGGAGAGTGGTGTTTAACTCTCTATCTCTGCTCACAGCTGCTGTTATTCCTAAACACTCCATTTTACAAACTGAATTTATTTCTAATCTTGAAGTCTGATGATAGTGAGCGCAGGAAAAACTGGAAAACAGTTAGCAAGGAACCATTGTGAAGTTTTGTTTACAATAAATGAAAATGCAAATAGAGTTCTTATTGTATAATCTGTACTCTCTAATGTCTTTCAGTGTCCGAGATGTTAGAAGTTGGACAAGTAGTTTTGGGGCTCGTCTAAGACCTCCAACAATGAGAAGGAATCTTCGCCAGATCATCGTTCATGATCATTATGCCAATAATGTCATGAATCATGAATTTGATATTGCTGTTGTACAGATTTCACCCCCAGTGGAATTTACAACTGCTGTACATCGTGTTTGTCTTCCAGAAACTTCATATATTTTTCCAGAGAATACAACTTGTGCTGTTACAGGATTTGGTGCTCTTAGAGATGACGGTTAGTAGCTCCCTCTTTGGAATTAGTTAACTTGTGTGAATAATCATTATTTGATCATTTGTTAACCACAGCAGATTATAGAGACACCAAATTACACTATTAAGAGGGCTTATCTCCTTTTCCAACCAGATATATTCATAATGATTTCAGAGAGAATAGAATAGAGCTGGAAGGGCCTTTGGAGGTCTTCTACTCCAGTCCCCGGCTCAAGCAGGAGAATTTATACCATCTCAGACAGATGATTGTCTAGTCTCTTCTTAAAAATCTCCAGTGATGGAGCGCCCACAATTTCTGGAGGCAGGCTGTCCCACTGGTTGATTGTCCTCACTGTCAGGAAGTTTCTCCTTAATTCCAGATTGCTATTCTCTTTGGTCAATTTCCAACCATTGTTTCTCGTCCTTCCCTTTGGTGCTTTGGTGAACAACATGACCCCTGCTCCTTGTGGTAGCCCCTCCGATACTGGAATACTGCTATCATGTCTCCCCTATTTCTTCTTTTCTTTAGACTAGCCAAACACAAATCCCGCAGCCATTCTTCGTATGTTTTAGTCTCCAGGCCTTTGACCATCTTAGTTGCTCTTCTCTGAATTTTTTCCAAACTCTCAACATCTTTTTTGTGATATGGTGACCAAAACTGGCTGCAGTTTTCCATGTGTGGTCTTACTAGGGTTATATAAAGCAGTAATAATACTTTGTGTGATCTTGATTTTATGCCTCTGTTTATAAAACCCAGGATTGTATTAGCTTTTTTGGTTGCTGCTGCACACTGCTGACTCAGAGTCAAATGATTGTCCACTAGGACTCCAAGGTCCCTCTCACAGTTGCTGCTTTTAAGCCAGGTCTCGCCCAATCTCTGTTTGTACCTTTGGTTTTTCCTACCTGGATGAAAGACTTTGCTTTTCTCCACACTGAACCTCATTTTGTTGAATAGGGCCCATTGTTCAACTTTGTCAAGATCTTTTTGGATCCTGAGTTTGTCTTCTGGGGTGTTGGCTACTCTTGTCAGTCTGCAGATTTAATGAGTTCCCCTTCAATTTCCTCATCTAAGCCATTTATGAAGATATTGAAGAGTACTGGGCCTTAGATGGAACCTTGTAGTAACCCACTGCTTACTTCTCTCCACGTGGATGTAGTGCCATTGAGGACTACTCGTTGAATACGGTTTCTCAGAGAAATACTCAACATCAAGGCAATTTGGCCTAGTGTTAAGGCAGACTAGAAAGCAGGACACCATGAGTTCAAGTCCTTCTTAGCAATGAAAGCCAGCTGGGTGATTTTGGACCAATTGTGCTCTCTCAGCCCAATTTACCTCACAGAGGTGTTGTAGAGAAAATAGGGTGAGGAAGGTGTATTGCATGTTTGCTACCTTGAGATGTTTGTAAAAAGTAGGCAAGATAAATAAATACATAAATGTTCAATTGTGGAATTTTATGTTTCAGTCTGATATTCTGGATCTGTTTGAGCTAAAACCACAGAATAACAGAGTTGGAACTTTTTGACAATATGCAATTAAGCCTTTTGACTGATGTATTGCCAACTAGATAGGCTGTTTGCCTTCTTTTAGGCAGAATATACTGTATGTATTCATATGCATGTTCACCTATAAGAAAACTAAATATAGAATTGCAAAAGCTGCAGAAATGCTTCAAATGTTGGGATAGATGGACAGATATATTGGAAAATCACAGGTTAAGGAATAGCCACCACAATTACTATATTCCTTTCAATTTAACTCATTCCAAAAATCTTCCTTATTCAGAGGTCACTAGAAATAACAATATTTCTTAACAATCATATTCAATTGCATTAGAAAGTTCTCAGAAATATGCAAAGAATTTATTTTTGTTTGTTCTAATCTGAACGAACAAATTTCCCATTTACCTAGCCTTAAAGCAGGATAGCTGTAAATCTGAAAGTTTACGGGAAAGTTCTAAGCTACTGAGGAGCCTTAGTCTAAGCAGGTGTTTCCAAAGGTTTCTATTTAGATTCTTTTTTGGAGGGAAATTTCCTGACAACTGCATTTAAATATATGTTCTGCAAACTATACACATTTCTTATGTGTTTCCTTTTCTTATGTAGTGTGAGGCAATTTTGTTATTCCATGAATTTTCATGGATAAAATACCCCATTATTATTTGAAAACCAGGTCCCAGTGTTGGTGAACTTCGTCAAACAGAAGTGAAAATTATAGGTAATGAAATTTGCAACAGAAGAGAAGTGTATAATGGAGCCATTTCACCTGGAATGCTCTGTGCTGGATACCTGGAAGGAGGAAGTGATGCTTGTCAGGTAGGTGTAATAATAACTTAGAAGTCAGCAAAAGGCTCCTGCATATATTGTGATTTGATAGTATTTTTGTACTGGAGCAAAACCCACGTATTTATACACCACCTCTATAACTAAGTAACAGAGATTTAGATGAAAAAGAACAAGTTTGGTGTAGTATTTAAGGGCTGACCAATAAACTAGGAAACTATGAGTTCTAGTCCTGCCTTAGGCATGAAAGCCATCTGGATAATTTGGGTAATCCTAGCCCAATCTACTTCACAGGAGAAAATAGAACAAGGAAGTATTATATATGTTAGCTACCTTGAGTTATTCATAAAAAAAGACAGAATTTTAAAAATCTTTTAAAAAAGAGGTGAACCAGGAGATGTAAAATGTGGAAGCTTATTTTTTCTGCAGTTCCAAGGTTATGATGATACATCTGGGGAGAGGAATGTGGAAGCTGTGGGTAAGGGTGAGAAATATGTGGTTTTTATTTTTATTGTTTTATTTATTCTATTCCATTTCTATATTAATTTGTTGGCTAGCAAGTCTAGCCATGAAGGCTTGTGAAGTGGGAGGGAGATGACCCCATTATATCTTCCTCTAAGAAGATTTTATGTCAAGGGAAATCATTTTAGATGGCATCATCTTTGATAAAACAGCTCTATCATATGATTACATAAGTTAGAGATTTTTCTCCTGGTCTTTCTAAAGCAATCTTCCTTCCCTTTTAGGGTGACTCTGGTGGACCATTGGTTACATCTGATTCAAGAGGAATATGGTATCTTGTTGGCATTGTAAGCTGGGGAGATGAATGTGCTAAGCCAAATAAACCTGGAGTCTATACACGAGTTACTTACTATCGAGATTGGATTGCTTTCCATACAGGAATCTGAAATAATGACGAGTAACTTTATATTAATGTATGAAATCCAAGGTATTTTTTCTTATAAACAGTCATACTGATCTGGTAAATTCTGTTGAGTAGGGATTTGTTTTTCTGTTGGAGGCATCAACACTATTCTTTCCATGTTATTTCATGTCCATGTCTCCTTATATTATATTATAAATACTGTTCATGTGTTATTCAAAAAGATGAAAAGATTGAAGCATTCACCTGCAACCAACAAAATAATTTTGTTTGTAGTTCTTTATGATTCCCATCCTTAAAATGCTGCATTGTTTGCACTGCTTGATTGCACTGAATGTTCAGCTCTCCCAAAAGCTTTGATAATTTGGCCAATCTTTTGTTTTGTTTTGAGTGTATGGTATTATTCAAGGAGAATTGCTGCATCACCCCTTCCAGGGATTGGAGTATTCAAATACATAATTCCTTTACAACTATATTGCAAAAATGGAGAGAATTCTTAGGCGAGGGATCCTCCATAGTCCTCCTTAATTTATGCAGTCTAGAAAGAGACATGCCATGCAGATTGAGAAAGTATTAAAGTAAGGATCAGTTAGTTTGTATCAGTCCTGCTATCATATTTATCCATGTTCTTGGGGGGAATTATGATGATAAAAGCTGCAAAATGCAACTGTTCATCTTAGAATAATTATATGGTTTCTAATGGTCTTTCAGCGGCTTTCTCCTAATCTGATACCTTCTGGAATGCTTTGAATTGCAATTCCCAACATGGACAATTTTGAGAAACAGAATTAGAATGATTTAATATTCAGTCAATTCAAACTAAAAACTATTTACTTGGACATGGAAGGGGAAATTTGCAGAAGAGAGTGACCACAGAAGAAAATGTTAGTGAGGTACCATGCTAAGTTGATTTTTATTATAAATAAAATTTCCAGTGTTTTATTTATCCTTCATTTCAGTTAGAAAAAATGCCTGAAAAGATGAAGTGAGGAAAGCCAATGCTCAAAATGAACTAAGGCTTGTGACCAAAGTCAAAAATAACAAAAAAGCTTCTTTCAACATGTAAAAAACAAGAAAAAAGTAAAGGAAATGATTGGTCCATTAGTGAGTGAAAGTGGTAAGAAGGTGACTAGCAATAGGGAGAAAGCAGAACTATTTAACTCGTTTTTTGCATCTGTCTTTACACAAAAGGAAAAAACAGACCAACCTATCAAAAATAGTGCCATAAAAAACAGAATAGAAACACAAGTTAAGATAGGCAAGAAAATGATAAGTGAGCACCTGTCCAGCCTAGACGAGTTCAAATCACCAGGATCAGACGGATTACATCCCAAGGTTCTCAAGGAACTGGCAGATGTAATCTCAGAACCACTGAACTATATTTTTCAAAGATCTTGGAGCACTGGGGAACTACCAGAGGACTGGAAAAGAGCTGATGTAGTTCCCATCTTCCAAAAAGGAAAAAAATGGATCCAGAAAATTAGAGACCTATCAGCCTGACCTCAATACCTGGAAGATTCTGGAAAAGATAATCAAACAATGAATCAGCGAACACCTAGAGGCAAACAAAGTTATTACTAAAAGCCAACATGGGTTTGTCAAAAACAGATCATGCCAGACAAACCTTACTGCATTCTTTGACCAAGTGACAAAATTAGTGGATCAGAGTAATGCTGTGGATATAATTTACTTGGACTTCAGTAAGGCATTTGATAAAGTAGATCACAACCTACTACTCGATAAGATAGAAAAATGTGGGTTAGACAGCATCACCACCAGATGGATTCGTAGCTGGCTGACCGGCTGTATTCAGCATGTGGTCCTCATTGGAAGTGCATCTACATGGAGGAAAGCGTGTAGTGAGGTGCCCCAGTGCTCTTCAACATCTTCATCAATGATTTGGACGAGGGGATAGATGGGGAACTCATCAAATTTGCGGTTGACACCAAGCTGGCAAGAATAGCCAACACTCCAGAAGACAGGAGTTTAAGATACAGGAGGACCTGGACAGACTTGAACACTGGGCACTATCTAACAAAATGAAATTCAGTGGTGAAAAAAATAAGGTTCTACATTTAGGCAAGAAAAACCAAATGTACAGGTATAGTATAGGGGGTACTAATAACTGTGAGAGGGATCTCGGAGTCCTAGTAGACAATCACTTAAATATGAGCCAGCAGTGTGCTGCAGCTGCCAAAAAAGCCAACACAGTGCTGGGCTGCATTAACAGAGGGATAGAATCAAGATCACGTGAAGTATTAATACCACTTTACAATGCCTTGGTAAGGCCACACTTGGAATACTGCATTTTGGTCACCACGATGTAAAAAAGATGCTGAGACTGTAGAAAGAGTACAGAGAAGAGCAACAAAGATGATTAGGGGACTGGAGCTAAAACATATAAGGAACGGTGGCTGGAATTGGGTATGTCTAGTTTAACGAAGAGAAAGACGAGGGGGACATGATAGCAGTGTTCCAATATCTCAGGGGCTACCACAAAGAAGAGGGAGTCAAGCTATTCTCCAAGGAGCCTGAAGGCAGGACGAGAAGCAACGGATGGAAACTGATCAAGGAGAGAACTAAGGAGAAACTTCCTGACAGTTAGAACAATTAACCAATGAAACAATCTGCCTCCAGAAGCGGTGAATGCTCCAACACTGGAAGTTTTTAAGAAGAGACTGGACAGCCATTTGTCTGAAATGGTGTAGGGTTCCTGCCTGAGCAGGGGGCTGGACTTGATGACCTCCAAGGTTCCTTCCACTTTGTTGTTGTTGTTGTTGTTGTTGTTGTTGTTATTAGTTTTCCATGTTTGTAATATCTTCCACCAACACTGTCCTTTCCTTTTTCTGTGTATTTCCTGTTGCTCAGAATACATCCCAAGATTATTTAAGAGTTAAAAACAGTTTTTAAAATACAGTTTCTTCCATTCCTTATTCTTATATGGCAAAATTTAAAGAAAAGTGTGAGACAAAAGAGAATCAATGTAGCAAAAACTATGTGTTTTAATTAAACACTCATAAGGCTCTATTTTGAAGCTATCTAGCATGATTAAGGATTATTATTATTTATAAGTTATAGGGTTTAAATTGCAGTAAAATTTTGAATTTAATGAGATTAACATTATTAAGACATTTCATATCAAGGAGTTTAACTGGTTCTTGCTTCAATTTAACAAAAATATTATTTTGCATTGCAATCCATCTGTTATCAATTAATGATCACAAATCCCATAAATAAGCACCATATGACCAGTGAAAATTTTATCATTCTGGTATGAACATATGTGTTACAAATCATTTATATCTCCAGTCTTTGGATGGATGGCTAAATCTGACATTTCAAACTGTATAAAAGTCTAAATCTGCCTTTCTCAACCTTTTGAGCCTGGCAGAACCCCTAAAATATTATTCAGGCTTCAGGAAACCCCTGAATATTTAGGTTCAAATATGTGCCAGAAGTTACAAAATTATTATGTGTAGTCCTGTATATATGTATTAATAGTGTTCTTAAACTAAAAATAAATAATTAAACTTTTCCTTTCCCCCATGTCTTTCTCCGCTCCCTGTGGATGGGTCTTGCTGCCACTGATATCTGGGTCAACCCAGCCCTAGATTTCCTGCATCCACCCTGAGATGGAGCCACTCACTCCCCAAGCTATTGCACCAGCAGAAAAGCAGACTGGCAAACTGGCATGCTGGCAAGGAGAGGGCCATCACAGAGGCCCAGATGTCACTCTCTCTTGAGCACACTCACATTTGCTACTCTTTTCTTCTCTCCTCCTCACTCCTTGCTCAGCTTGGATTCTGCTCACCTCCTCACTTGCATGCATGTGCACAATCCCGCCCCTCTGCTCGTTACGGTGACCCAACTTACGGTTGGAAGTTTGAAGGCTTTTGTTCACTTAAACGATGAACTCCCAGGTGACATCTCATGGAATCCTAGGGTTCCACAGAACCTCGGTTGAGAAACCTTGATCTAGATACAAGAGATGTGCTTGTATGCAAGAGAATGAAACTTAAATAACCGTCTAGGTCAGAGGTCCCCAACCTTTTTGGCACCAGGGACTGGTTATGTGGAGAGAGGTTTTCTGCAGACCAGAGGGGGCGTGGTTTTGTGTTCTGCCTGCATCTTGCGGATGGGGCTTTGCTTGTTTGTGCGGGTCGGTTGCTGGCATGCCACGGACCGGTACTAGTCCACGGACCGGAATTTGGGGATCCCTGATGTAGGTGGTTATTTAAACAGCAGTGGCTGTTTTCAAAAGTATCTCTGGAATCTTTATCAGCCTATAAAGTTATTGTTATAAATATTTTCTCAGCCTATTGCATAGATGAAATACATCTTGATTAACTAGATTTATAGTTACAATGTACTGCTCACATTCCACTAGACTAAAATTTCAAAGACTTTCATCCCTTATTTGGCTAAATCTAATGAAATCTATGTAACAGGTTTATTTGCTGAATAGTGATAAATAAAGTATAGTGGAAATATAAGTGCTGACAGTAATACATATTTACAGACTTCTGGATTATACCAGAAAAGCTACCATACCCTTTGCTCACATTTAAATGCTATGATTCAATTGTGTATATTCAAACTGTTCAAACTACTATGCCTACTGCAGGGAAAACAAACAAACCATTGAACGGGGGAGTCCAGTACTCAGGAATAATATCCTTTAGGGCAAGCTTAGAAAACAACAACAATAAATCCTTATTTTTCTAAGCTAAAATCATTCAGGTTAATAATATCTCTGTCCTGCCAATATTAAGCAGCTTAAAAGAATTCCTTTCTAACATGAAGGGACCATATCTAAGGATATGTAGATAGGGAAGAAGACTTATATGAATCTTCTTTATTCTTATATTTAAAATCCTCCATCTTTACATAGACCTTTTTTATTCCAAGCAACCAAGGACTGTCAGAAAATCATTCAACATCAACAGACTATAAGACCCAGACCAAGTCCAACTCTTTCAAGATGACCTGCCCCTTCTACTGATGAAATCAAGAAAGTGATCTCACAGAGGAACTCAAATAAAACAACAGAGCTGAGTGGCATTCCTGCACTAGATGCAAACACCTTGCAAGCATTCCAAGATGCTTTGGAAAACATTTGGTCCATGGAGGAGATGTCTGAAGACCTCAGTGATACCTTCATTGTGTCTTCTATAAAAACTAGGGAAGCAAATTAGATACTACAAAGATATCTTGTTGTTGTCCACTGCAGACAAAATCTTTGCCCACATTTTTCTGAACAGAATAATAAAACATCTCTTTTTTTCAGCTAAAGTAGGCTGCTTTAATAAAAAAAAATTGATATTCCACTTTTGTATTCACCTGATATTCAAGGCAGTTACCAATTAAAATATAGAACATAAAATACAATTTATTTATTTTTTAAAATGAAAATGATTAACAACTAAAAGTCTGAGGTAGCTGGAAATTCATTTTTGTATTAAAAAAATGAAGAAACATTGAAACATAATTCCTGAACTGAGAGAGATATCTTGCTCTGTAATTCTAGGTGTATTTATTATTTATTGTGTATTTATGGTTGGCTCTTGTTGGCTGAACTTGAGATTTTAGAGAACAAAGTGCATAAATTTAATCAACTTGAAGGTAGTCCAACCTTGTAGGAGCAACATTGCCTCCAGTACATATGAGCTTCCTAATGCAAAAAGATAGGAAAATGATATGAGAGAGAGAGAGAGAGAGAGGGAGGGAGGGAGGGAGGGAGGGAGGGAGGGAGGGAGAGAGAGAGAGAGAGAGAGAGAGAGAGAGAGAGAGAGAGAGAGAGAGAGAGAACAGGACCCCCTGAAATAAAACATGCAAACACAGATCCTGGAAAAGAATAAACTGTCACAGAGAAAGGGAGTCCTCTGGGTTCCCCAAAGAGAAAAAGGTATGATAGTGATTGGTAACTCACTTCTAGATGAACACTATCAGCAATTTGTAGACTGAGCAATTTAGTGAAGTATGTTGTCCCTCATGTGCAAAAATAAGAGATATTACAGAGAGGCTTACCCAAATAATCAAGCCAACTGATTACTATCCCTTTGTCCTCTTTCATGTTGGGACAAACAATACAACAAAAAAGACCCTGAAAAATATCAAAGAACTGTGAGCTGCTAGGCAGGAAGGCAAAAGACTTTAGGAGCATATTTTCATCCATATTTCCAATGGAAAGTCAACACCCAGTGAGGGAATGGATGGTTCTAGAGGCAAATTGCTTGCTCAACAGATGATGCCATTGAGACAACTTTGAATTTTGGGACCATGGTTTTCACTGTTAGAGGACTGGAAAAAAGCTGGTGTGGTTCCAATCTTCAAAAAGGGAGAAAAAAGAGGGTCCATGAAATTACAGACCAATCAACATCAACAACTGGGAAAATCCTGGAAAAGGTAATCAAGCAGTGGATTTGTGAGCAACTAAAAATGAACAAAGTGATTACTAGAATCAGCATGAGCTTGTTAAAAACAGTTATGCCAAACAAAACTTATTGCCTTCTTGGTTAAAGTGACTGTGTTAATATGTAAACTTTTAAATATAATGGAATATTGATTTACTTGTTATTAAGGTTCCATTGTGAACATTCCTTGTTATACAGCACATCTATTAAGAAAGCTACAACACAAAGCTTAGTTTTTACAAAAATGCTACAGGACTTTACTGCCATCAAGTGGCACTGAATTGTTTACTGTTTCATTTAAAATAAAATTTTAAGAAGTTTCAAGTAATACAGTCCATACATACTGCAGAAAAAATGGTTTAAGTAAAAAAAAATGTCAGTTACTAGAACTTTATTTATTGAGATATTTCTGACAATGGCATTTGGATCATATACTGATTTCCTAATGAGATCCATAAAATCAGAGGAGAAAAAAAAATCAATAAAAAGAAAAAATGTTTTGGAATTGGAAAATTACCTAATATAAAGCCTCCTGTAACTTATCTCTATGTGCTTCACAAGTATCTCCTTTGCCTTCATCTTTCTTCTTTTTCACACAGCAATCCTCATTTTGTCATCTATATGCCATCTATCTATCCCAGGATTGTAGCAGTAATAAACAGTTGGTTCTTGTTTAACAAAGGCAAAGGAAAGCTGAATTAAGATCATAAGCACTGTTGCAATTTTACTTAGCAACTACTTTATTTAACAACCAAGTTGATGGTCTCAATTATTGTCACTAAATGAAGACTGTCTCTATATTAACTGATTCTATTCCTAGAGTTATTCCTGCACTATGGCAGAGTCTGCTTCCTGTATATCAACTGATTAACCAAAGCAAAATGATCTCCCTTACTTTTAATATATTGTGGGAAAACGCCCATCTAGACAAGAAACCAAAGCAATTGGAGGGAGATGCAACATTTTTTTATTGGCACGTACAACTGCAGTGATCACTGGGCTCCTCGCCAGATGAAAGAGCCTGAAATTCACAGTGTTACAACTTTGACAGGTCCCCAAAGTAATATATTTTAACCCTATTTTTCTGACCCAGAATCAAGATGCTTTTTAATCCAAGAATAAAGATGATTGTAAAACAGATATTTAATTCAGAAATACTTGCAATTATGGTTGTTGCTTCTGGATATTATACATCTGTCCATTTTTATTAGGTAAGAAATTAATACTTTCTCCATACCAACTTCTAACGTGGAATGAGACCATCTGAGTCCTCCGGTAGTCCCATGCTTATCTCAGACAAAGGCATTCCAAACTGGCACATGGCCAGGATAACCTGTAAAGAGCTCAGTGACTCCTCCTACAGATCTTTTAACATGGGATTGCTAACTAGCTTTTATATTACCCATAATCCCTCTCTTAAGGAGACAACACTTAACCCAATAAATGACAAACATTCTAACATACAGATCTACATGCTCTAGTCAGGGTTACATGATCCAGAACACCTATGCCTATTTTCTACTTCTGTAGCCTTTGTGGCCTACCATTGTGTTGGGAGGGGGGAGTTTTTGGAATTGCTTTGCACTGCCTGCTATGATGCACTTCTCCCAGGGGATGGAATGTTTCTCCCTTATCTGAGAGATGGTTTACGCTTGGAGCCAGAAGAAATTGAAAGTGAGAAAGACCTTGAGGAGCCTACCAAAATGACCAGTTATCAAAACACTATGCCACTGTGGATTGGCTGGGATTCAAATGAACATTGGGATGCTTGGGGGAGGAGTACTGAATGTTGCTTTTAATATACTGCTTTGCAGGTTTTTCTCTCAGACCTCGTCTTGATTCCCTGCTGTCACTAGCCCCTAATAAAAGTTCCTTTTGAGACAATGCCTGTTTCAAGAGTTCTGCTTTCTTGGATGGCTTAGCCAAGGTAGGTCCTTACAAACTTATATAGTCTCTGAAAAGAATTACAAAGATAATGTAAATTATTATATGACTCTTGGAACTTATCATCTGATAAGGAAGTAGAGGCTACCCTGGCACCTCTAAATCCTACATTTCCATGGAGGGCTCCACGTCTGCCCTTCTTTTTTAATACTAGCACCTTTTAAGATAAACAGTGTTTTTATGCTCATATATTTGACTCCTTTCATTAAAAGGAAAAGACAATCCACTTTTTGTTACCTGTCTTCCTTTCCCTGCAGATTCATTAACTAGTTTCAGGTGGCCTGGATATTCAAAGTACCCATATGGACTTTTTGCATAAATTCAATGTATTATTAACCACAAATGATTATGTTAAAAAAGGAAATGGAAATGGATGCAATTTTGGGGAGTTAATTGAACAAAATCACTTTTGAAATCTCTCCTACTGTTAAATTTCAAGGTCTATCATCTATTATCTTTTGTATCTAGTTCAGTGGTTCTCAACCTGTGGGTCGCGACCCCATTTGGGGTCAAACGACCATTTCATGGGGTCACCAAACAACGCAGTCCGCCATTTTTTCCCCCTTTTCCTTAGCTGTGCTACTCCCTCTTATTCTATTGGCTTTTGAAAGCCAATAGAATAGACTCTATTCAAGAGACTCTATTCTATTGGTGTTCGAAAGCCAATATAAACTAAGAAAGTTTTGGTTTCGGAGCACGTGGCAGAAAGTGAGACAGAGAACAAGTGGCAGAAAGCGAGAAAGCGAGGGAGAGAACAAACAAAAGCAGTATCATCTCTGGCCTGCTGCTGAGCTTCCTCTGCTTGGCCACCGGACACCCCAGCAGCCCCAGAACACCCTGCCCACATTTCCTGCAATTTCACAGCTGGCCCAGCGGCTAAAAAACTCCCCGCGGCCGCCGGCACTTCTCGTAATTTTTCAGCCAGCCTCCCCTCATGCAGCCCACCCCGCGCCCTCTCCACCTGCCACTGATTGCAGCAGACAAGCCAGGGGCCACCGGGGAAGGCCGAGGCCAAAGAGCCCAGCCCAGCGGCTAGAAAACACCCTGTGGCTGCCAGCATTTCCCATAAATTTGCAGCCAGCTTGCCCTTGTGCAGCCTGCCCCATGCCCTCTCCGCCTGCCTAATACTGGCCCAAATCTTCAGAGATCGCTCTCAAACCATCCTAACCTGCCAGGGATAATACTAGGGGGGGAGAGAGAGCGACCTGACGAGTGGACAAACACGCACATGCATTCCCGGGCCCACGTACTTTCCGCGGCCAAGTTCTTCCATTCCTATCCCTATCAAGGCACAACCTGCTAAAGGCACCTGTCGCCCTTAGAGCGCAGGCTCCTCCCCAGCTGACTGGCTTGGCCTCCTCTGGTCCATCCTTCCTCACCTGTCCCATGGGTCAACCCAGCTGGTGGTTTGATGGCATGGTCTATGTCATAGTCACGAGCTTCCTCCCAGCCTTCAGGCAAAGGCAGCTCCTGCTGGGGCATTTTTCTCGGCAGCAGGCGCAGCAGCGGAGAGATGGACCAAAGCTGCTCCCAGAGCGTAAAAGTAGAGGGCCCAAATGGCGAGAGTGATGCAGCTCTCTGACTCTCTGCTTCAGAGGAAAGATGCAGGGGAAAAAGACTGGGAGAAGTGGCCGGTTCACCTCCCGTTTTCGGGCACGTACGTTATGAACCAGCTACTTCTCCCAGTCTTTTTACCCTGCATTTTTCCTCTGAAGCAGAGAGTTGGAGAGCTGCATCACTCTCATCGTTTGGGCCATCTACTTTTATGCCCCGCCCTGCACACAGGCAGGGCTGTGATGTGTTGCTGCCTGCCAAAACCAGGCTGGGGTCTGGGCGGCATAGCACAGGACGAAGGAAGGGAGGGAGGGAGGGAGGGAGGGAGGAAGGGACAATGGGAGCTGCAGCGCTGCAGCTTCCAGTCCCATGAGCGTCCTTCAGCTGTGCTCTAGGCCTAGCATTTATCAGCTGTTTGGTGGCCGAGAAACAGCCTTTCAGCTTCAGGCCACTCCCTCGGCTCTAGGCTTCCTGCTTCGGCCTCCTGCCCATCAGCTGTTCGGCGGCTAAGAGTAGGAGCTGCTCAACTGTTGGTCGGGACGCATTCAAGCTGCCAGGTAAAACGGAGCTAGTCGCTGGTCTCCTTTGCCGCCCCGCACATCATCCTCAACCCCTCCCCCCGCCAGTTCATGTCGAGCCCATGGGAGCTTGACAGGGAGAGAGGGATGGAAGGAGGAAGGAACGAAGAGGGAGGTGAAGGAAAGAAGGAAGGGACAATGGGAGGGAAGGAGGGATAAAGAGAGAGGTGAAGGAAAGGAAAGAAAGAAGGAAGGGACAATGGGAGAGAAGGGAGGGAAGG